GCGCCAAGTACGTGGCCCGCCGCCGCGACCCGCCCGCGCGCCGCGTAGTCCGCTCCCCACCACCTCCCCCCACCGACACCGCCGACACGCACTCCCCACACCTGTCCGCAGCTTCCTCCTGATTATAAACATGTTCGCCCGCGCGCTGTCTCCCTGTCCCACCCCCCCCCCTAACCTCCACTCTCGCATGCGACAAACTCCGACACCACCCACTTCACCAAACTCTGGCATCCTCGCCTTCAGCTGTACAAACCTCCCCAACCTCCAGCCCTCGCACACCTGACTGTCCCCGACACTTGGTCTTGGGATTGCCCTCGTGCCGCTCTGCTACCGCTACGAGATCCTTCCTGTCCCATCCATTCTGATCCCCTCCCAAATCTCGCAATCACTTCCCCAAGATGCGCGTCATCACCTGCCTTCTCCTCGCCGTTGCGCTACTCTCCCCTTCGTCGCTCGCGCAGCATCTCGCGCTCTCATGCCGCGACCACCCGGCCTACCGGAGCGACTGGACGCCTCCTCTCATCCGCTCCATCGAGCAGCTGGAGCGCCCGGTCATGCAGGAGAACATCGTCTACAACCCGCGTCACGTGATGCACAATTACGTCCCCGTCTCAGACCCCAACTCCACCATCTACCACAACTTGGACCTCTTCTACTCCGGCGGCACACGCTCAAAGGACCGCCTCGCCCGCCTCTATCTCCAGCGCCCGGCCCGCGTCTACCTCTTCCTCGGCGTCTCGTCACGCCTCTTCCACATCCACCACTCGGAGCGCCTCTCGCTTCCTAACTGGAAGGGACACGGTTGGGCCGCGCATGCCAACCCCACTGAGCTCTATGAGTTTGGCGTCTTCCAGAAGTTAGGTCACGTACATATGCACCAGTATGTCTACGTCTTCTCGCGCCAGTCGGGCTCGGACAACTCCATCGTCATCCCGTCCTCATCCTGGATACAGAAACACATTAGCGCCCGCTTCCGCGTCTTCCTCAACTTCCAGGTCCGCCTGTCCGAGGCCAACGGCCGCGCCAGCCCCATGCCGGGCTACTTCCAAGGCTCCATGGTCGCGCCCAACCAGCCGTGCCCGAGCGCGCTGCACGAGACGTGGCGCGTCAAGATGGACGACCCGCACGATCCCGACACGCGCGGACACTACTTTCAGACGTGGCACCCCGCGTGGGATCCGTGCTTCTGGTGCGCGTACGGCCACGAGCACGGCAGCTCGCCGCAACACCTGATGCGGTACACGCCCAAGTATGGGTACGCCGCATGGAAAAACGACAGGGAGTCCGAAGCGGACCCCGGCTTCAAGGGCTTTGTGTTCCGCGTGGGCGTGTTCAACGTGTTCTACATGCTGCACGCACAGGCAAGCACGCTGCGCCGCGTCAACGAGGAGTACCACACGGTGCAGCTGGTGGTCAAACGGGCCGACACCGGCGCGCTGATGCTGGACATCACGCAGAAGGCGAGCTTCGGCTTCCTGTCGGCGCGCGGGCGGCACGACGACTTCGTGCCACTGACGGCGTACGACGCGCGCATGCAGGAATTGCAGAAGGCCAAGGATGTGCCGCGGCGCTTCCGCACCATCAACGTCGTCGACATGGGCCACCTGGACCGGCGCTTCCGCTACCAACGCAACCCGATGGAGGGCGTGTACGAAATGTGGATGACGACGATCCAGTGCATGAAGCACAAGGCGTTCGGCGGGTTCATCGTGGACCTCAAGGCGCCGGGCACGGGCATAGTGTCGGCTGCTCGGAGCGACGTGGCCGTGCGGCTCGGGCCCAACGGCGAGTGGGAGGGCAAGACGCGGTTCCTGCGCAACGTCGGGGCGGCGCGCAGCGTGCGGCTGGACGAGGGCACGTTCGGGGCGGAGTTCTGTAAGTTCTCCAACGCGCCCAATGCCTCCGTCGACGGGTACTTTTACACCAGCCCACGGGCAGACGTGCTGCTGGACCGTCCCGGCAAGGGCGCGATTCGGCAGTATATCGACAAACGCTTCTTCATGCAGGTGCGCGGAAGCTACGAACCCGCCGAGCTCGGGCTCGGCCTCCACACGCACGAGGCGCGCGGGTTCTTCGGGGACATCGGGTATGGCCTTGACCCAGACAGCAACTGATGCTTCGGAGCTGTAGAGAGTTGTGCAGGGATTAGATTTGACTCATAACTTGTGAAATATATTAGAAGGTGCCGCCGACTTCTGCAACCCAACATTGTCCTCATGTACTCGCGCTCAAAGCAACGCGGGCGCGGGGGTAGCGGCGCGCAGCGTTAGTGATCAGCGAAAGGAGCAGGATGCGGTGATGTGGATAGGGCGTGTAAACCTAGACCCTGTGCAGCTTGCGACATGCACGAGCGCAGTGCTTGCCGATGAGAGTAGTTTGCGTGGAACATGAATTTGCAAGGCGAGGCTGCACATGACCTCGTGGGCGTTTTCCCTTTCCTTCCTGTCTTGCGTTCTCCTGCGAGATGTCGAGGGCAACCATGTTACCTATCAACCGGTGTCGAATGTTGGAAATGCCAATAATTACAAGATTTGTCAAGTTTCAGGTAATGATCAGCATTGCCCTAAACACTGCAAATAATTATCCTTCCTCTCTATGACACGAGACTGGTTCGTCGTCTACGATACTTGTTCCTTTACAAACATGGAAGTCGTAGTGGTATAGATACAAGAGTAGCAACAATAAACAGAAGGGAGAAGATACCACAATTCCACAATCCCATCGCCTGTCACCCACCCTCTCCGTTCTTGTCCCATTTTAAGAGTCATCACGCATATGTGTGAATCGAGACCCAACGAGGCGAGCCTAACGCGATCATCAGCGTGAGGTCATCACGCATCATGGTTCTCGGCCATGTAACCAGGTGAACACGGTGGAGGGGAGCCTCACCCCAGCACGGGCCATTCTGGCGTCGCACTACTGTACGTACGGCTACATATTTCTTCGCCTTTAGTCAAATGACTGTCACTGCATCAAATTCAGGCTAGAGAGACACCACCTTGACAATTAAGCTACACATGCTTTTCAAGCCGCACTGTGCTCCCACACCTGGTGGTGAGTGTCTGACCGCACAGGACAGGCTGTCATCAGAGAGGAGTATATACACCTAGAGACGACGACGAGTAAAGGAAGGGGCTATCGGACCCCGTGATCACACAGTGGGCAGGGCGAAAGAGGAAAAAGTTAGCTTTGGGGAAAAGGTAATTGATAGTGATGTTCTCACCAGGGAATTTTGGTCCTCGCGGTGGTCATAGGGACGGTCCTCGTCTTGATGTGCATCATGTTGTTTTTACCGTATCAGTGCTATAGCTGTGACTCTCATTGCGTCATGAGATATCCATTTGCGTGGTCCTCGTCGCTTTCACTACTGTTTTAATTGATACACGCTTTCGTGTGCTCTAACAACGTATTGTAGTCGGTACTGCATTCTATAAATTTCGCAAGTAGAAGTTGAATACTACTAAAGTCACAAGACCGTCACCAAAACATAAAACTGTCACCCAACCAAGTCACCACACACCGCCACTCCGCAAGTAAGGTGATGCTTCGATGGCGGAAAACCTCCTTACAGGTTTACCAGCGGATCTTGTCGATCTGGTCCCGAGACAAGCAAAAAAGAGTTAGAGAAAGGTAAAGTTTACTCGGGCTACCAGACCGCGCTCACGATTGTAGATCCCTGCTAACGCCGAGACCACGTAGTGGTCATTAGTTTCGTCCGTATTGAATTAAGGAATCAGTTTGCCGTTGTCGTAACATCAACAGCTCGTTTTGATGTGTTTTAGAATTGTGTGATTGATTTAGCGTTGTGGTTGTGCTGGCTTAATTATATGGGAAGATTATGGGCAGATGTAGAATAGACACAAGAAGTTAGAATGAGGAAACAAGACTGCAAGGTTGAAGAGTAGTGTGTTCTATGTTTATTCTGTTGATAGCTATCCGCAATCATCCCTACTTATATCGCTACTGCAGGGCTACTGCATTCCTAATATTTCGGTTAGGTGCTTCGTGGATGTGATGATACCCATACACGTGGACACATAGCACACATCATACACGCACCACGATCCACCGACGACGGAGTGAGACCGCAAGACTTAGTGTAGAGGAAGACAGATCACGAGTAAAGACGAGACCATCGTTCCTGTACCACAGGTTATGGACCCTACGCAACAACCACTGCAAGACGATCACCACAACGCGGGAAGCCACCACCCCGGACGATCACCCCGCAACCGGCCAGGACCCCAAGCGCCACCCCACACCGGCAGCCTTGAATACGTCCCTGGAAAACCACCCGCGCCTCCCCCCGCCGCTGTGTGGTCGCGGCCTGGATGTATAGGCGGGGGTGGGGGTGTGATTTGATTTGCGCCGTGAGGTTTCGGAAGGGGTCGGTCCTGAGCGGCTTGGTCAGGATATCGGCGAGCATGTCCGCGCTGGGGACATGGGACATTTTGATGTGTCCTTTCTTGGCGTGGTGGGACAAGTAATGATGACGCAAGTCGATGTACTTGCCTCTCTTCGTGGGGCCGGTGTTGTGTGTGACCCGGAGGGCGGACTGGTTGTCCATGAAAAAAGGGGTGGGGCTGGGGCTGAGCATGCGCATGTCGCCGAGGATCCTGCGAAGCCATGCAGTTTGTTGTACTGCCGCCGTGGCTGCGATATACTCCGCTTCGCAGGTGGAGAGGGCGGTTATTTTCTGCTTGAGGGAGCCCCAGCAGATGGGTGTGCCGTTGTACAGGTGGATGATGCCTGAGATCGACTTGCGATCTGTTACGTCTGCGGCATGGTCGGCGTCGGAGTACGTGGTGAGGAGCGATGTTGATGAAATGGGGTTTGGGGCGGGTGTGTTGGGGTGCAGCTTGTGCTGCGCGGCGGGAAAGAATAGCCCGTGGTTGGGCGTGTGTCGAAGGTAGCGCAGAATGCGCTTCAGGGCATTCCAATGGCGCTGTGTAGGAGCCTTGGAGGCGACTGAGAGACGATTCACAACAAAATAAATGTCAGGACGGGTCGAGTCTGCGATGTAGCGCAGATCACCAACTATTTGTTGATACTCTTTGGCCTGCTTGTGCAGGGGTTCGTCCTCGGGGGTGGGGCCGTGCAGTCGAATTCCGTCTTGGTACGGAGTTGGCTTGCTGTTTGCGACGTGCATCTCGCATTTGCGGAGGATGGTCGCTATCGCAGTGGGCTGGCTGATGTGGCGGGCGCTATCCCGTGATTTGTGGACAGTCCATCCGAGCAGCGTCTTGGGTTCTCCCAGGCGTTTTATGGTGTACGCCGTTGTGAGTATTTTTGCGAAGTCGTCGAGGAGCGTGGTGGAGGTGGCTGCAACCGTGAAGTCATGCATGCTTATGGCCACGAAGGTTGCCGCGTTGAGGGATATTTTGCGGAACAGACATGTGTCGCCTTCTGAATGGCGAAATCCGTGGCGGTGGAGGAGGTCGAAGACGGCAGTGAGGTACGTGTATTTTGCTTGTGGCGTGCCGTAAAAGTTTTGGAGGAGCTTGCCTCCTTAGCAGGGATGTTTGTATGTCCCGTCAAAACGGGGGTGTTGGCGTACATACACTGGCTGTTTTCCACTGTGGTCGAATTTTTCATGGAGGTAGGCAGCTTCGATGTCTATATGCTCCATTTGTAGCTTGTGTGCTGCGGTCATGGCAAATAAGAGGCGCACTGAGGACTTATCGGCCATATAGGTCGTTGTGCGGTTTGGGTCGTAATGGACGTGGGGGAGCATGGTGTCCGTGCGTGCCGCACATCGTGCTTTGCGTTTGACAATGTCACCGTTTTTGTTGCGCTTATAGCGATATCCCATGGTGAGGTGGATAGGGCGTGTTTTGGGCGGGAGGTGCTTGTCGGGGGTCCATTTGATTACCTGCTTTTTGACGAGTGCGTCAAGTTCTTTGTCATGGGCCTCTGCCCAGAGTAGTGCGTCAGGGTATTTCTTGGCCTGTCCTCGGTTGAGGGGGGCAGGTGTCGATATAGAGATGTCCATGGGCGTCTTATGCGGGGTAAAGGCCTTGAACGCAGCTACAGTGGTTGCGGTTGGATCTCGCGAGGCATGGTAGGGGTGGAAGTCCACTGTTCGTATACGGTGGATTTTTGAGGTGGCGGCGTCTATGACGGTGAGGTGTGTGTCGTCATGGGGGTGCAGGTACCGTACTGTACGTGATTTTGATTGTAGCTTCGGGATTTTTGCACGTTGTCGCGGGTCGGGTGTGGTGCTCAGCTGGCGGAATATGTGGAATTGGGGGATGGCGGGGGCGGCGTTGTGCCATTCAGTGGTGGGGAGCTCTTTGGTGCCGTGGTGCATTGTGTGATTATATTTAAATGTTGCATCTCTGATCGCGTCTTCCCAGTGGTGGTGGCCGAGGCCACTGTGGTGGAGGGCAGCCCGTGCCGCGTTGAAAAGTGTGCTGTTTATCCTTTCGTCAAGGCTGTTCTCTTGAGCGGTATAGGGGATGGTGGTGGAACGCCGTGTGCGCTGGTTGTGGTATGTCTGTATGGCAGTTGCTGACATATATTCTAGTGCGTTATCGGTGCGGAGGACTCGTGGTGAATGCCCTGTGTTCTCCTTGATAGTGGTTAGGATATAGTCGAGGCGTTGCGGGGTTTGTGCTCGTGGCATAAAGTCGGTGATAAGATACCGTGTGGTTGTGTCGAGTACTGTTAGAACATACTTGTTTCCTTGGCGGGACGTGGGGGCAATGGGTCCGCATATATCGCTGCTGAGGGAGAAGCCAGCGGGGTATGTATGGACCGTGGGTTTGTGTGGGCGGAGCCTTGTTTTGCGTGTGCGCAGCTGGGGCACGTGATCTTGGGTGCATATCTCGCCAGGGAAGGTGGTATGTTTGGCAGGAGGCCCTTCTGTGCGATGGTTTGTATTGTGGCAGGGCGGACGTGGTTTAGGATCATGTACCAGTGGTGGAAGGCATGATCCAGGGCAGCGCCACGGGGAGTGGGCGGCAGCGGGGCGGGGTTGTGCATGGTGTGCATGGGGGTGGGTCGCCTTGTGGGGGCCGGCAGTGGGGGTGCTGCTGGTGCAGGGCGGGGAGGGGTGGGAATTGTGGTTGAGGGGGGGGGCTCGACGACGGGAGGCCGTGGCGTTTTTGTGTGG